CATTTACACATCTTTGTCACCAAGCCCAAATTGTTGGCTAGGTTTTCTTTTTGATATTTGCTGTGGGAGCTCCTTCTTCTCCTTCAGCCAATAGCCTTTAATAACAGCCCACTTGGGCATGGTCTCTCTGGCTTGAAAAAGCAGTGGTAGCGCATGCTCCCTCTCTTGTTTTGGACTCTGCTTCTGGCTACCAGATGATTTTCCTGGTTGTGCAGGGGGCTGTTGTCTAGGACGGTGATCTGTAAGTTTTTCCCTTTAAATAAATAACCCTTTTATTAATCATAATTCCAAACTTGTGTGGGATTGTTTTGTGACTTACTCCTTTGGATGTTGTATAATTTATAGATTTGTACAACTTGTCATAATGTGTCCATACTTTTAGATTGTCAAATAGAGTAGTTTCTTGGCCTCCAAAACCTTTAAATCTACATATTTCTTCCTGCCTCTCCTGAAATTAGGAAATCACTGTCATTTTTACTGTCACTACAACTATTGCCTTTTCCAAAATGTCATGTAAGAACCAAAGACTGTGGACTCTTCAGCTTGGTTTACTTCACTCACTGCATGCACTCAAGTTTTTGCAGTGCTTTGTCATGAGTTTATAGCTCTTTTTATGTAAAACCTCATTTTCTGCTTCTACCACAATGCATTTGTCCATTGACCAACCTAGGAATCTCAGTTACTTTAAGTTTTGATATTTATGAATGAAGTTTCCAGAAGCACCCATGTCCAAATTTTTGTGTGGATCCATTTTCTGTTCCTTTGCATGAATACTATGGAGCATGATTGCTGGAAGACATAGTACGAGTAAAATCAATGTTGAAAAACTACCCAACTGTTTTACAAAGTGGCTGCAGCAGTTGTAATTCCCATGATGCAAGAAACAGAGTTCCTGGTGCTCCACACCCTCCTCAACATTTAATGATGTTGGTGTTCTGCAAGTTGAACATGCTAATGGTCATGATGTGGTGTCTCAATATTATTTGAATTAGCATTTCTTGAAATACATGCAATTTGTTTTTAACAGTTTTTCACACTCTTATTGATCCTCCATATGTCCTGTTTGCTAATGTGTCTTTGAGTGTTTTATGTGCCAGGTTTTTTGTTGTTGCTGAGTTTTTTAAATCCCATATATTGTACACAGCCATCCTTTCTGCAATATGTCCTTTAGACAAATTTCCCCAATCTATAGTTTGACTTTTTATTTTCTTCATAGGATATTTTGCAGAAGAGAAGATAGATTTGAGTCATCAACATTATCTGTTCTTGTCCCATGGGCATTGTAGTAACTTCAATTTTATCCTCTTTAAAAATTAAAAAATTGCCAAGCAGTGGTGGTTCATGCTTTTAATCCCAGCACTCTAGAGACAGAGGCATGCGGATCTCTGTGAGTTCAAGGCCAGCCTTGTCTACAAGAGCTAGTTCTAGGACAGGCCCCCAAATTACGGAGAAACCTTGTCTCAAAAAACAAAATAAAAATAAATAAAAAATTAAAATTAAAATTATTCTGTTTGTATTCTACATGAAATATATATGAATAAAATACCTGAAATATTTGAAATTATATTGGTTTATAAATTGATTGGGGGTGAATTATCTTTTCACCTGCTGAATCCTTTAGTTAGTGACCGCTGTGTGAGTACTACTCAATCTGCTTAGATGTAAAATGCTGCGTACCTTTCTGTGTGATAGTAGTATGGCATGATTTTTTTTAGGTATTTTACATTTTGAAACTATTTTAAGGCTAGTTAAACATTTTTGTTGGTTTTCTATTTTTTTCTTACTTCAGTTTTGAAAACTCAGAGTTTAAATAGTGATTTATAAGTTTCCAACTTTATCGGTACAAAATTGTTTAGACTATTAACTTTGCAGGTTTTTTTGAGTCATTGATTATGTAGGCTTGATTGTCCTGGAACTCCCTATGGAGATCAGAGTGGCCTCAAACTTACGGAGATCCCCCTGCCTCTGGCTCTGTCTTTCAAGTGCTGGGATTAAAGGTGTGCACCACCTCTGCCGCTTTCATTTTTGAAGAGGCCTTTAGGATTGCAAGGTGCTGTCTTATCTTTTTTCTTGATTCATTTAAGAATTCTAAATGCTGGATTTCGTGCATTTTATATGTATTTTTGAATCCTTTACAAAACTATTATTTTTGGAGACATAGCACTCAGTCAGTATTTATTTTCCATCCTTTTTTCTTTCCTCCTGCAAACTTACAATACATTCCAGAGGGTTTGCCTCTTGCTTTTGTAGTTCTAACATATTCCTTCAATGTTTATGTAGACTTCATTAATTTTCTTTGTCTGAAAACCTTTTGGAAGGTTCTGTTTGTTGGTAATAAAATTCTAGCATCCTAATAATTTTCCTTGGAGATGTTGAAAATATGACATATTTGTTGTTGGAATCACGTTCAGAAGTCTTCACTCCATTTTACTTATGTTTCTTTAAAATTATGCGTCTTTTTTATGGTTGCTGAAAGGTTTTTTGCTTTTCTGTTTGATTTTGATGCTGCACAATTTTCCTGTGAACCCCTAAGGTGTGCTTCGACTTTCATTTGTCTAGACTGGATTTTGTAAAACATCTCGAATGGTTGTTTATCAGTTTTTGACCTGGGAGCCTTTGCACGCACACAGTGTGTGTATACAAGCCAGAGGATAACTTTCACAAGGCAGTTCTCTCCTTCCACCTTGTGGGTTCCAGAGACCAAACTCAGATGGTCAGGCTTGGTAGCAAGCATATTTCCTCCACTGTAGTAACTCTATGTCACTGCTCATTAATTTAACTTAATTAATTAAAGTTGATTTGTTATAATAGTATCCTTTCAATTTAAGATCTGTGCCTTCTAAGTCATATGTGCTATGTCTTTCATCACCCCATGGTGGGGGCTTGCATAGAATCTTTCTCCTGAAGACTGGATGGCTATGTGAAAACTTAACCTAGGATTAAGGTGCTATTATTTCCCCCAGGAGAAATTCTTAAATTTGCTTGGTAGAACCCTGGAATCAACTTAAAAAGCGAAATGATGATGTGTGGCTGAAAAGCTCACACTAGTCACAACACGCTATGCCAAGGCCAGGGACAGTGGGAAAGATTTTACCAATCATTTTACCAAAATTAACAGCAAAACCGTGGACATAATACAGCTCTCAAGATCTTGTAGGAGAGAAGGACGGTGCAAACAGAAGGTTGTTTTCAGGCCTCATAAGCAACAAACGCTACCTTCCTTCCAGGTGAGAAATTGTAGTCTCCACATCTTCTTAATGAGGAAAGCCATTAAGAAAACCTCATTCTACCATCTTGAACTCTCAGAGATCTTCCTGCCTCTGCATCCAGGTTATTAGTTTTTAACTATGCATTTCTCCCCCGACTAAGTGTCCCAGGAGGTGGAACTGGCCTTCAGCTGGAATCTCCATTCTACCAATGTTTGCTGATTTACTCTGTCTCTATGACAACGAACCTATTATTTTCTCAGGCTCAGCCAATGTCTTTGGAAGCAACACAGACTATAGGATTCATGGTCTCATCCCCAAGGAATTTATTCTCCAAAACCTAAGCCCTCTCAGTTCGAATCACACACTGTGTTCTCTGTGGATGGACAGTAATGGTTTCTGACCTTTAACCTGGTTTTGTGATTGTTTGATATCACCACATCATACATGTAGCCTTCAAGGGACAGGGCACAGAGAAGACGAATAGGAGCACTTCCATATTCAGTCTGTATAAAGACATTACTTATACTCCATGTTGTGGAAAGGTGTCTGTTCTCAGGTATTATGAATAGCTCGGTCCGCATGCATGGTCAGCTGTTCACTCTGAGTTACTGTGCCATCCCCATCTAGATGCCTCTGGAGGAATATAAGGTAAATTCCAGAAAATCAAAATAAACTCAGCAAAAGAAACATGTGACCCTTCCATCCACAAGATGAGCAAAACATTAAGGTGGGGCAATAGTGAGAAAAGCAAAGACATTACAACCCTAAAAAAGTGACTGACCACCTGCCGAGAGGGATAAGACGAAATTCAGAGTCTCTGGCTGCCTCACCCTGACCTTCCCCTCCTGTGCAGTCTGCAGCATAGCAGAGAGACGGAAGGCAGGTGTTAGGGTGTTGACTTGCTGCCTTCTCAGATTGCCAGCTCTCCAAACAAAGCACAACCTAAAGATTCCAACACTGGCCTCTGTGGAGTAAGGCAGCATAGGTTCCAGTACTCTGGCTACACTTTGAGACTGGGTCTCACAACATAGCACTGGCTGACCTGGAACTCACTTTTGAAGACCAGACTAGCCTTAAACTTAAACAAATCTTGCCAAGTTTTATCTCCTGAGTGGTGGGATTAATATAGATAGACAGAATCACACAATGTGCTTGCTACTGAGCATAACATAAAAGGTCATAATTCAATAAATAAATACACTGCTGTTCAAGAGCAAAACAGTATTTTCTAGGAACTCTATTTGATTGAAAATTTAAGTTAAAACAGCTGAAATCATATTACATATCAAAGAAAGGTAAATCCCAAAATTCTACTCTTGATCTAAAATCTATAACTACCAAATGACATAAAGCAAAAATGTGAAGTCGCAACAACAAGAACTAGACAAGGGGCTGGAGAGATGGCCCAGCAGTTAAGAGCACTGACTGCTCTTCCAGAGGTCCTGAGTTCAATTCCCAGCAACCACATGGTGGCTCAAAACCACCTATAAATAAATAAATAAATCTTTAAAAAGAAGAAGAAGAAGAAGAAGAAGAAGAAGAAGAAGAAGAAGAAGAAGAAGAAGAGAAGAAGAAGAAGAAGAGAAGAAGAAGAAGAACTAGACAAGACTGTCAGAGTTCAGAAGAAATTTCTTCTATTGGAAGGCAGGACAGGCTGCAGGAAAAGCTAGGACATAGCATCATTTGCTACAGCTTCTCCCCAAAGGGTGGATAGGAAAGCAGAAATTTGATCCCTCACCACTCTGAACACTTTAGAGGAGGGGAGGAAATAGGTCAGATTTGGATATTGCTTTTTAAAAAGATTATGCTTAGCAACAGATTAGCAATTTTACTTTATGAAGGGAATAACAAATTATGAGACATTTCCTCTTTAATTTTCACTAAACTGCGATTAATGTAAAGTTTTAATCTTGCGATATTTGAAACACTTGCAGGCACATAAATAAAACAAGCACTAACATTTATGTTGCTCACAAGGGTCACAACGGAACGTACTAAAGTTCTAATGAAGGGCATCTTGACATGAATTTAGCAGACAAAAGTAGGCCAAGGCCAAATAAAAACTAAGCATTCTAACCTTGAAAAGATAAAGTTATATGGAAAAAGCAGTGACACAATTATACAGAGGTTCAAATTTTCTTATTAGCATAAAGGAGGAAAATAATTCGATGTTATGCTACTAGAGTTACTTGTACTTATGAGAATATTAGTCACCAAAGGCATATAAAAATGAGGAAAATACATATGATGCATATGCTATAATGACAGTCTAACCATGTAAAATACCTACAGGAAAAGTTGGAGCAGTTGGGCATATGCACACATGCAGTAGTTTAAAAAAATGGTACACGTTACACGTATCTATATAAAAGTCTGCATGTTGATTCTGAAGATATAGGGGACCACTTTGAATACTTAACTGAAAACAAAGCTATCCCTGCAGTGGGGACTTCCGTTAATTTCTCTCCCAGGATCCTGAAGCAAAAAATTAGGGATCATGGGTTTAAGGAACTTGAACTCACCAGTCCCAGAGTCTCCCCTCAGACACACTTCATACTGATAGCTCTGGGACAGGGTCCCATCACCACTGACATCCACCAGGTGACCAGGAAAGTGTCCTTCAGACAACGAGCAGCCACCCACGGAGGTCGCCCTGGCCCTCCTGCACAGCCTCACCCCCACAAACAGCAGCACAGACAAGAGGAAGAGCGAAGACACCGACGCCAAGGCAATGACCAGGTACAAAGTAAGCAGGTCTTCGTCCTGTGTGGGGTCGCGCGCCACCTCTGGCAAAGGCAGGTAGGGCTGAGAGAAGCCATCCACCAGCAGCACATGCAGAGTGACACTGGCAGACCGCGGAGGATCGCCATTGTCCTTGACCAGCAGCAGCAGCCTGTGCTTGGGCGCATCGCGCTCACTCAGCAGCCTGGAGGTGCGCACCTCGCCATTGTGAGCCCACACACTGAACAGTCCGGGCTCCGTGGACTTCAGCAGCTGGAATGACAGCCAGGCATTCTGGCCAGAGTCGCGATCCACAGCCACCACCTTGGTGACCAGGTAGCCAGGCTCTGCCGCCCTTGGCAACAGCTCTGTGTAGGGCGCAGAGGCGTTCTGCAGCGGGTAGAGCACGAAGGGTGCATTGTCGTTGGCGTCCAGCACCTGCATGCGCACTAGAACCTGGCTGCTGAGTGCGGGCGAGCCTTGGTCTGTGGCGCCAACGAGGAACTCGAAGCTCTGCAGGGCCTCATAGTCCAGAGCCCTGAGCGCGAACAGCTGCCCGTTGTTGGCATTGATGGAGATGAGCGAGGAGAGGGGCAGCTGCGAGTCGTGGGTTGGCAGCAGCGAGTAGGTGATGTGGGCATTGGAGCCTGAGTCTGAGTCTGTGGCACTGATGGTGCCTATGTGCAGGGCGGGGCTGTTGTTCTCGTGCACAAACAGGGTGTAGGAGCTTTGTGTGAAGGCGGGGGCATTGTCGTTGACATCTGACACCTGCACTGTTATGGTGTGCCGGGTTGTGAGCCTGGGTGTGCCCATGTCGCTGACTGTGATGGTGATGTTGTACTCAGATCTGCTCTCTCTGTCCAGAGGACTCTCTGTCACCAGGGTGTAGAAATTCTTGAAAGTGGATTTGAGGATGAACGGCAGGGTGTCTGGAATAGAACAAACCACCTTTCCATTCTCTCCGGAATCCCTGTCTCCAACTCTGAAGATGCTGATTATGGTCTCAGGAGCATTTTCTGGAACTGAGCTGGTCAGTGAAGATATGGTCAGCTCTGGGGCATTGTCGTTCACATCCACCACCTCTATCAGCACAGCGCCCTTCCCAGAAAGGCCTCCTCCATCCGTGGCCTCGATTTCCACATGATAAGATTTAATTTTTTCAAAGTCCAATCCCATTTTCAGTCGTATTTCTCCCGTGATTTCGTTTATTGAGAAAGTCTGTTGAACTTCATCTGATGCTTGGAACAAGCCATAGGAAACTCTCCCAAAGTTGCCAGCATCTGCATCCTGTGCTAGGACAGTCAGGACTGGGGAGTCTGGGGGGCTGCTCTCCAGGACCTGTACCTCATAGGGGGTCTTCACAAATTCAGGGGCATTGTCATTGATGTCCAGGATCAGGATTCGAACCATGGCTGTTCCTGACCTAGGTGGAGAGCCCCCATCCAGAGCCGTGAGGGTCAAGCTCAGCTCTGCCTGCTCCTCTCTGTCCAGGGCTCTGTCCTGCACCAATTCTGGGTATTTCTTGCCTTCACTGTTATTTCGAGTGAGGACATGAAAATGAGAGTTGGGGTTGACTGTGTACTCTTGAAGCCCATTGCTGCCCACATCCAAGTCCTGGGCTAATTTTAATGAAAACCGTGAACCTGGCTGACTGTTTTCTCGTATTTTCAAAAGCATTTCCCTCTCTGGGAATTCTGGTGAGTGGTCATTTATGTCCTGGATCAGTAATTCTCCTTGAAAATACTGCATTGGCTTTTCAAGAGACACCTGGAAATGCAGCACACAGGGGTCCACAGAGGCACAGAGCTCTTCCCGGTCTAGTTTCTCCCTCAGAAGCAAGTCTCCAGTCTTGGGATCCAGCAGCAATCGCTGCTTGTAATCATCAGACACCACCCTTGCAGACCGGGCTGCCAGGTCCCCAGATCTCAGACCCAGGTCCTTGGCCAGATGGGCAACAAAGGAGCCGCTTTCTGTTTCCTCCATGACAAAGTACCAAATTGTAGGCTCACTCCAAACCTGAACCAAAACCAGCATAAAAATAAAAGCCAAGACTTGCCTGTTTGGGTGAATTTTCTCCATCTTCTCCATGCTGGGAATGTGAGTGTTTGCATCCAATCCTTTAGCCGTCTCCCAGTGCTTTGAAACGCTGGCTTCTGGTTTCTTTTTAGGAGGGATCTTCACAACGTTACTGTTAATCTTACATTAATCCAGTATATCTTTGTCCAAGCCCCTTCATAGCTCCGTAGTGCATGCAAAGCTCTTGCCTGCGTCTTTTGTTCTGTTTTCTCACAAGCGATTCCTGGTAGTGTAGTGATTTTAGTTACAAGCTTAGCCTGCAGCGCCACCCTGTGTCTTCTTGAGGAAACTGAAACCATTTTAGTTGTAAGTCACAACACTTGTTTTACTCTCCAAATTAATGCCACGTTGAAAGTGTATATGTTTTCTTTCCTTTGCCAACATTGTTTTTTCCTTAATCTGCATAGTTTGTAAGGCTGTCCACAACTGTGTATGAGAGGAATAATGAGCACAAACCAGGAGACAGCCAGTCTTCGAACTCATTTGTTTAAGTTTGGAATGATCAGGTAAGCAAAACACAGATTCATATTTCTAAAAGTACTTTCTTACAGTGATGAAAAAGAAGAGTTACATGGTTAATTCCAGCAGTCTATGTGTGATTAGTATAAATTCTTATAGAGGGAATTCACTTTTGACATGCTCCAATGCACAGGTATAGGCGCATAGATCTAATTCATCAGCTGACCACCCGAGAGCAATAACGCTGAGTGCACACCAGAATCTGACCTTGTCTAACCTTCAGGTTCTAAAGTATTTGAAGCAGTTTTGTGCTCTAAGTTTTGATGTAATCTAAAACTAAAAAAAACCCTACTATCTGTATTCAAATAGAAAATAGTATTTATGCATCTAAGACATAAAATCATCCAAATATTTGATTTCTAATTTATTATATTTCCTTAATTTGTTTTTCCTTCAATATTTATTGGCTGTAACAGGACTCCTTGCACTTTCATGTGAAAAATTTAGAGACACTTAGCAACTTGTGAGAAAAAAGAAACTGGCATTTGGGTAAGAATTCCATTAAGTCATACACTAGTTTGAGGGTAATCTTTACAACATGGCGTCTTCAATCCATTACTGCAGTGTCATCTGCCCTTCTGTATGAAGTTCATCTACACCATTGCTTCCTCTCTAAGATTCTTCTTCCTTTTGAGTCCAAGAAACTTTTCTTCATTCCTGGTTTGTCCAGTGCTAATATGCAGAAATTGTTTATTTTAAGGCAATGATCTTGCCTTCTACACACTTGCTGAATTTTTTTTATCAGTGTTTGCATTTCTGTAGATTATTTAGGATGTGAAGTTACTCCATCTATAGCTATATAGATGTTTTCTTTTCCAATTATTAATTTTCTAAAATGTTTTGTGCATTGAGAAAATTGTGTCCTTTTGCCCACAAGGCCTATTTCAATGTTATTGTTGTGTCAAGTCAGTATGTTCCCGGGTCAATCCTTTGCAACTGCGAGGTATAAGCTCATTTGGTGTTGGTGTTGCTTTGCCAGTATTTTGTTGAGGCTTTTCAAATCAGTGCTGGAAAGACGCATGGGTATATAACTTTCCCTCCCACTGTTATATTAGCCTAGTTTTGTCACAGTTGCCTCCCATGAATGAGTTTTTTAGTAGTTGCTGATCTGATCTTCATTTTTTCCAACAGTAATATTCAATATATGGTTTTATGAGAAGGGACCCGTATTTGAAGTATCAAGTTAATGTCATGTTTTCACAAGAACATAAATACAGCAACTGCTCATTCAGAACAGGAATTTTGGGTGGTAGCTTACTGATGCAGAGCATAATCAAATTTGCACATTTATTGCCTAGATTGCTGCTGTGAGTTTGCCATGTGTGCGTTGTTGTTGTTGTTGTTTTGTTTTGTTTTGCATTGCTTTGCTTAGTTTTGTTCCGAGACAGGATTTCTCTGTGTAGCACTGGCTTCCTGGAACTCATTACGTAGACTAGGAAAGCATCTAGCTCACAAATATCCACGTGCATCTGCCTTTGCAGCACTGAGATTAAAGATCATCCCACCCGGCTCTCCATGTGACTTTCACTCATCGATTAAGTTAGAAAAATTTTTTCCCAGGATGTCATTCTAGCACCTTAAAGGACACAATAACATCTAGGAGGAAGGTGACATTTTCTGAGGCCATTGCTTCTTAGAGAAAACACAGAATTGTAAGCCCCGAGGCAGGTTGGGTCTCGCTCACACACAACTACAAGAATGAAACAGAACTTCTATCCGTTTGTGACAAAGTTGAGCCAACCCCCTTATTTAAAACTTAGATCCTTTGAAATCCAAGTGCAAATGACTATGAGACTCCAGTCTCTATTTTAAAGACCATTAGTGTGGTCAGTGTGAAGCCAGGACAGCATGAAGGAGCTTCCAAAAGAAGGCAAGAAGCTGATAAAACATCATCACCGAGGATGACTAAGGCCATGGAAAGACGACTAGACAGCTTCAGTGTTTGTTCTCTCCCCTAGGACATAGAGATCCATAACCACATGGAAAGGCTGCAGATGAAAGAGATTTGATTTGTCCAAATCAAAAGCGGGAGATGACCACTGGGAGGTAAGTGCTAGTTGATATAAAATATGCCAAGTGGAATTGTTGTAAAGAGGGAGGAGAGCTATAGAAACTGCCGTGTATTACATGACTCTTGAGCTCTGGAATAGCAAATGTCAGAACGTGATGAATAAATGAAGTAATCTAAAATAAAATGAGACTTATCACCTTTCTAATAAAACTGGGGGAAAGCAAGTGTGGAAGAAAAAGGGATTTACATATAATAACTGAGAAGCTGGTGACACCACACATATAATCAATAGTATTGAGTGATGGAAGAGCAGTAGAAAATGTTTTCATTCTTAAGGATATCATTAACCAAACTATTATTGTTTTGCATTAAAATTGGACAGTGGGTTTTCAAGAAAGTGTCTAATTCCTGATTTGTTGTCTTTAAATAAAAAATGAGGGCTAGTATATACCCATGAAATTATGTTTTGAAAATGAGTAACTGAATCTCAATCTTGAAATTTTCATTCAATTTTGGTGCTGTCAATAGTAACCAGAGGGCAATAGAAGCACAGATTAGAGATCCAAGGATCTGAAAAGAGTTTTCTGAGAGTTAATTGGATAGGCAGAAAAATCTTGTATTGAATCTCTCCCCATTGTTGAAATTAAAGACATTAATAAGCTCAATTTGGAATTAAATTAAAGATTAATGCATTATTTTACAGTTCTCTGAGTTTTTGGGGAAACCAGCTCCATAGAGATTGGTGTTATTCTGACAAAATTAAATTGTTGTCCCCTTTTCTGAATATAAATTGTTCTTTTGGGGTTTTGTTTTTTGAGACAGAGTTTCTCTGTGTAACAGTCCTAGCTGTCCTGGAACTAGTTCTTGTAGACCAGGCCTGCCTTGAACTCACAGAGATTCTCCTGACTCTGCCTCCCAAGTGCTGGGATTAAAAAGGCATGTGCCACCACTGCCCAGTGAATTGTTCTTTTGATTTGATGCGTAGATAAGTTTAAGATAAATCTTTAAGTCCTCAGAAAATTCATTGATTTCCTAATTGTTGCAAGTTTATTATCCAGTGACAGCAAATTGAGCACCAGTTTTGAATGAGACATTGTGTGATGTACTACAAGCTCAACTCTAAGAAAACCCAAAAGAGGGCTGGAGAGATGGCTCAGTGGTTAAGAGTGCCTGCTCTTCCAAAGGTCCTGAGTTCAATTCCCAGCAACCACATGGTGGCTCACAACCATCTGTAATGAGATCTGGTGCCCTCTTATGGCCTGCAGGCATACATGCAGACAGAATATTGTATACATAATAAATAAATAAATATTTTAAAAAAAGAAAAAGAAAACCCAAAAGAGCTCTTTGAGACTATTTGTTGTCTACTGAAGTTATTTAGCAGTAAGAGAACTCAATTTTTGTTTAATTTTGTTTCCTCTTCAAACACTGAAATTTCAGTAATACCAACTTGTCCATAAATGATAGTAACCTTAATACTAGAGAAATGATAGACAAAGTTATCTCTTTCACTGATATCAGACTTGCAGTTTGAAAAATGCCCCCAAAGTACAACAACAGTTAGCAGAATTGGAAGCCAGCCTAGGCTACACAGAGAAATGAGTAAGAACCTATCTCAAAATATAGGTGATAGCTGTAGTTTCGGAAAACAATTCAAATAAAAGGCTAAATGATTTCTAAGTTCCCAGAAATAAAAATAACTTTGAACCAAGACTGATTATTTTATATCATCAAATTCAGCCCAGGTTATCTTATCAGCTTGGAAAATATTTGGGCCAACTTTGTAAACAGAGTATAAATATAGTCCATCCACAGATTAAATTATTAATAGGATCTGGGTCTGGGGGTGCAGATCAGTGATTGAAGGCACACCTTGAACACCATGGGCCCCAGGCTTTGGACACACACAAACACAGGCACACTCAGACACACACACATACACACACACTCACACACATGGGCATCCCTACTGATAGTATCTTCTTCTTTGTCTTCAGGTTGTAGATAGATTATCAGCATACAGCCCTTCCCTCATTAGTGTGATATTATACACTCTATATAATAATAATACCTCTCAAAAATAATTGTTACGTGAATTGCATAATTCCAAAGAAATTGAAGATATGTATGAAAGAATAAAAATCCAACAAAAATTTTCATACAAAATATTTAGGCTTGACAGAAAGATGTTTTCCCAATTATTCAGGATTCATCCCACAATGCTTGTTTACATAGATTTTTTATGCTAGAGAGCTTCCTTCTTGGAAAGTGATTCCCCAACTCTTGCAAGCATTGAAGAGTGGTTACGATCATGCAACTGCACTTATTAGTGATTAAGAATATGTCAATATTTTCCCCATAACTCTCAAATCCCCATTTTGCTTTCATGTACTTCTTGACTTTTAGAGGGTGATTATTTAGCTTAAATGACCTACAGCTCCATGTCTCTCAAAACGATATTTTCATTCTCGATGCCTGAATAAAGTAACTCCTTCATGCATATGTGTGTCCATTCTTGACTCTCCAGAGTTACCAAAACAACTTTCAAGTTTTTATGAGTTCTATTATTTTTCTTGTAGACAAAACACTTGAATGTTAGATAGATATATCTGGATGGTAGTACAGTAAAAGTAATTTTTAAATAAATTTGACCAAGAAAAATGGTTGGTTATGCGAAACATTATAAAATTTTTTAACTCAAAATAGCCATATTTTGGGTTTTGGTTGCTTCCATGTGTTCTTTTTAGTTTTAGAAAAACTAAACTTCCCCAATGGTATGGCTTTTTCCTATTATAAATTCCTATATTTATACACTCTTCAGTTAAAATGTTGTAGAAAGGATACTGGTGTGGATTGGCAGATTTCATTCCCAATAATCCTACATCATGACAGATGGAAATAGAAAGGAAGAACCCATTGATAGATAGTTTCCCTGAGTCACCTTATTTATGGCAAGTAAGTATTAATGATAAAAAGACCAAAAACACTTAAAAGCCATTCATCTGCATAGTTTGTGGAAAGTTTATTGGGCACTCATGTTTATACAGCATTTATCAATCAGTTTATCATCCAAACACATGCCTAACTAAATGTCTTCTCGTACAAGGTGAAAGCACACTCAGCCACTGGCAATGGCTTAGGTCAAGCAACGTTATTTCTGGTACATTTTAGAAGCCATTTTGGCCTGTATTTAAGCAAATAAAGTCTTGAAATACTAGCTGTGATTGTCAGTAAAGATGACAAATTGAACAATATACTCGTTTCATTTATTACAAAACATGGAAACTATGACAGATGACGGTATCTCATGCTCACCCTTCATTAGCTATACCCAACGCTGTGTGCAGAAGTATGGGTGAGGGAAACACATACATGCACGATGGCGTTGCTTTGTTCAGGCATCAAGAACGAAAAAGTCATTTGGGGGGACATGGAGCGACAGATCTTTTAAGCTAAGTGGTCACCCTCTAAAAGACAAGACGTACGTGAAACCAAAATGGGGCACTTAAGATTGTCATGGGGAGAAATACAGAGGATTAAAGAATGTGATGAGTGAACGGTATCAAGGTGTGGAGTGTGCACCTCTGAAAATGTTACAATGGTGCTGAACACTGAAAACTTACCAAGCTGGAGCGAAGTGAAAGTCAAAATGAATGATATACAGCAAGTTATATGCATAGCCTCAACAAGACACCATTTGAAGTGAGTGTTGCAGAAATCCATGCTGGTTATAATGAAGAGGAAGAAATGAGTGCCTAAGAAAACTATTTTAAATGATGAGAGAAACACAACAGAGTTATATATCCCCCACCCAAATTAGTGAAGGAAAAAAATGCATTAAGGCTCACAAAAGAAAAAACATTCCGTTTTAAAAGGGGATAAAAACAACGTAGAAACATATTGTCTCAAAGATTACTGAATGCAAAGGAAAATATCAACAACCAAGCAACAAATTCTGATTCGGTTATAGAACTCTAGGTCTCTCGGATACTGAACGTGAGCTAGGGTTTCTGAAACATACCATTGGGAATAATGGGGTTGAAGAATTTGAAATCTGTGGTCCCCGAGTCTCCAGCCAGACATACCTCATATTGATAATCCTGGGACAGGGTCCCCATGCCGCTGACATCAACCAGGTGTCCAGGAAAGTGTCCTTCAGGCACAGAGCAGCCACTCAGCGAGGATGCCCTGACTCTCCTGCACAGCCTCACCCCCACAAACAGCAGCACAGACAAGAGAAAGAGCGAAGACACAGATGCCAAGGCGATAACCAGGTATAGCGTGAGCGAGTCCTTATTATCCTGCGCGGGGTCGCGGGCCACCTCTGGCAGAGGCAGGTAGGGCTGAGAGAAGCCATCCACCAGCAGCACATGCAGAGTGACACTGGCAGACCGCGGAGGATCGCCATTGTCCTTGACCAGCAGCAGCAGCCTGTGCTTGGGTGCATCGCGCTCACTCAGCAGCCTGGAGGTGCGCACCTCGCCATTGTGAGCCCACACGCTGAACAGTCCGGGTTCCGTGGCCTTGAGCAGCTGAAACGACAACCAGGCATTCTGGCCAGAGTCAGGGTCCACAGCCACCACCTTGGTGACCAGGTAGCCAGGCTCTGCCGCCCTGGGCAGCAACTCTGTGAAGGGCGCAGAGGCGTTCTGCAGCGGGTAGAGCACGAAGGGCGCATTGTCATTGGCGTCCAGCACGTGGACGCGCACAAGCGCCTGGCTGCTGAGCGCAGGCGAGCCTTGATCTGTGGCGCCCAAGTGGAACTCGAAGGTCTTCAGGGCCTCGTAGTCCAGCGCCCTGAGCGCGAAGAGCTGCCCATTGTCGGCGTTGATGGAGATGAGCGAGGAAAGGTCCAGCTGCGAGTCATGGGTGGGCATCAGCGAGTAGGTGATGTGGGCATTGGAGCCTGAGTCTGAGTCTGTGGCGCTGATGGTGCCTATGTGCAGGGCGGGGCTGTTGTTCTCGTGCACAAACAGGGTGTAGGAGCTTTGAGTGAAGGCGGGGGCGTTGTCGTTGACGTCAGAGAGCTCCACTGTTATGGTGTGCTGAGTTGTGAGCCTGGGTGTGCCCAGGTCGGTGACTGTGATGGTGATGTTATACTCAGCTCTGCTCTCTCTGTCCAGTGGCCCCTCTGTCACTAAAGTGTAATAGTTCTTGAAAGTGGGTTTTAAGAGAAATGGGAGATCGTTCTGAATAGAACACACCATTCTTCCATTGTCCCCAGAATCTGGGTCAGCAACAAGGAAAACAGTAACTACAACCTCAGGAGCATTTTCTGGGATTGAACTAGTGAGCGAAGATATGGTGAGTTTAGGGGCATTGTCATTCACATCCAGCACCTGTATAGCTACACTGCATTTTCCCGAAAGACCTCCACTATCCGTGGCTATAATTTCCATGTTATAATACTGAGTTTCCTCAAAATCCAATGCCCTTTTAAGACGAATTTCTCCTGTGACCTGGTCTATTACAAATGGTTGAGAAACTTCACCACCTTGAAACAAAGAGTAGGCTACATTCCCATTTATCCCAGCATCTAAATCTCTGGCAGTGACAGTCAATACTAAGGCATCAAGGGGGCTGTTCTCAGGGATCTGAACTTCATAGAGCGACTGTACAAATTGGGGAGCATTATCATTGATGTCCAAGACTTCAATGCGAACTGTGGTGGTCCCAGACCTAGGAGGTGACCCTCCATCCACAGCAGTGAGGGTTAAAGTGAGCTCAGGCTGCTCCTCCCTGTCCAGGGCTCTGTCCAGCACCAGCTCTGGGTATTTCCTGCCATCAGCACGACTGTGAGTAACGACATGGAAGTGGAGGTTGGGGCTGACTGTGTAGTTCTGAACAGCATTGCTGCCTATGTCAGGGTCCTGAGCTGCCTTCAGAGGAAACACAGTCCCTGGCTGTGCACTTTCTTGAATTTTTAGGAGCATTTCCCTGTGAGGGAACTCTGGAGAATGGTCGTTTATGTCTGTGAGCTGCAGGTCAGTTTGGAAGAACTGCACAGGGTTTTCCAGTATGAGCTGGAAGTGCAGCACACAGGGTTCTGTCACCCCACACAGCTCCTCGCGGTCTGCTTTTTCCTTCAGAAACAAATTCCCGGTTTCTGAATCCAGCTGCAAGAGCTCTTTGTACCCACTGTGATGAATTTTCACCCCTCTGGTGGCCAGTTCCCCCACCTTGAGCCCCAGATCTTTTGCCAGATTAGCCACCAAGTATCCAGTCTCTGTTTCTTCTGGTATGGAATATCTTATTGTTTTACAGTCAGCCTCCCACAAAAGCAACAGTATAGTAAGAAAAACGACTTGCCTTTTCTGTGCTGTTTTTGCTAGAGCTGTCTCCATCGTTCAGATGTAGTCCAGATGGTGCTCCTTCTTCTTAATCTTTCTCAATCCACACAGTTAACATTGGTGAAATAACCTCCAATTAAATCTTACTGAATTGCTTCCGGGAGTCTTTCCCCCCAAGAGCTTAAGTAAATGTCCCCTTCTTTCCTGGAACACTCAGCATTCTGATTCTGGGGAATGGCGTCCAGGGCATTCTCGGAGCCCTTGTTAAACAAATTCTTAGTCTGCAGCGCCACCGTGCGTACTATTCTAGTATTGCAAATAGTGTGGTTCACTTGTTCTCAGTTTCAGCACTATGTTTAAACACCCTTTCAGATACAGAATTATCCTCCATTGCATGCTCTGATCTTAGCAACCAGAAATTTTAACACATGTGTTAATTTTCAGTGAACGTAATTTTTTAAATGAACAAAATGGCATATTGATCAAAAGACGTTTTTAATACAGAGGTTCAATATAAAGGATTATCTATGAAATATTTGAATATTCCCAAATTACTCTTCATTGAAATGTTACATACATACAAAAACTGGCACTGAACTTAAGTCTACAGAACAGCAAAGAGTCACGAATTAATATAGATGAATACATCTAGAGGAATAAATAGCTCCTATCTGAATAATGTCCCCATGCCATTCATTATCTTCTACTCTGGTCCTCGGCACCGCACTGACTTTTATTGTCATAGGATATTTTTCCTTTCGTAGAACTTTTATAAAGCAGTGCCAGTAGAGTGCCTCTCTGTCGTGGGATCGCTCCCCGCTGTCATTCTCCTTGGGTAGCGGATCTGTGGCATGCTCTTTTCGTTGTTTATGACATTCCTCCAGGTTTGTGTTATTAGTTGCATATACTCCAGTTAAGGATCATTGTGGGTTTCAGGTTTGAGTTTGATTTGTTGTTTGTTTTGTTTTTAGACAAGACCTCTCTACATAGCCCCGGCCGTCCTGGAACTCATTGTGTAGATTAGGCCAAACTTGAACTCACAGAACTGCCTGCCTTCACCTTCCGAGTTCTGTGATTAAACGCGTGTGCCACCACTTTGAATTTTGAATGTTACTCCCATGAACAATCCTTCATACATTCCAGGTATAAAATACGCCCATCATATGTATCAGAGCTGTTTATTGTCCGTCAAAGTGTCGAAATACATTCATCCTTGGCACACACTGTGAGGTAGTTTTCGGAATTAGCTGTGCTGCGCCCCTGGTGACTCAACCCTGTAGTCCCATCTCTGGGAAGACACACATGGGATATCTCTCAAGTTCAGGGCCAGCAGTCTTTCTTTAAAACCTAGGAATAGAGATGCAGCTCAATAATAGAATGTTTGCTTGGGTTTCATTCCCAGCAATGTGAAAAAGTAATTCCAGCAACGCATGGGGATTCCAGCTGCTCCATAATCTTGTCGACATTTGATGCTGTCGTTCCAGTTTTAACCACTCTAGTAGGGATGCCATGGTGTACATTTAATTAGCATTTCCCTGGGGGTTAATGAAATGATGCAAACTTTCACATGCTTATTGACCATTCAGATGCATTCTCATGATGAGGTCTTTTATACATTTTTTCTGTCTGAGGCATTGGTCTGATGGCTTCTTGGTCTGCAGAAGAATCTTTATTCTTAGTATAATCCCATTTTTGCTTATGTATATTGTAAATAATTTTTCAATTCTATGCTTTCTTTTTGAACCTTCTTATGGTGTCTTTGAGAAACAAAAGTTAGTATCTTTAACTTGGTTTGATCTGCCAACATTTTCCATTTCTGAGTAACATCTTTCTGCTATTTAAATCCTTCCATTTTCAAGGTCATAGCAAATCTTGTGAACTTGGAATGACTTTCACTTTTCACATTTAAATGTATGATCACCGCAAACTCAAGTGCATGATATTAGGGTCCATATTTTCACAAATCCGTTGCATTCTGTACTGAAAAGATGACCCATTGCCCATTGTTTCTGAGTTGTCACAATGTCCTAAGTCAGGTGATCATGAATCAGCTCAAAGATTCCATTTGCCTGAATATCAAAGAGTAATGCTATGTTCTCTTATTTCTCATAGCTCTATAATATGTTTATTATCTTCAGAGTAAGTTTTCCTCTGAAAAGATGAGTTTTAAGGAATTTTAAATTCACAGAAAAAATAATTAAAGACATAGAGAATCTCCACAGCTGGGCACACCCTTCCTCCTATCATTCCCTCCAGAATGGTACATTTCTTATAACTGAGCTTCAATATTAGCACATTTTTTTCCTGAGTTCAGCACTTTAATTGGGATTCCCTCTGTGTACTCTACACTATATAAATTTGGATTAATTCATCATGCATCCATTTCAGAGTACCACAAAGTAGTTCCCCTGACCCCAAATCTTCAAAATCTGTTTATTTAAACTTCTTCTCTCTTTTCTGAATCTCTGGAAATCATTTATCTTTTTTTGAGACAGAGTTTCTTTGCATAGCTGTGGCTGTCCTGGAACTCACTCTGTAGATCAGGCTGTCCTCAAACTCTGAGATCCACCTGCCTTTGCCCCCTAAGGGCTGGGATTAAAAATTTGTGAAACCACTGCCCAGCTCACTTTGCGTTTTTACTGTGCAAGCTTTTGTCTTTTTTAAATGTTATGTATTAAAAGTTTTCTAGTTTTGCTTCTGCGATGAATATGTGTTTAAGTTTTCTTAATGCCTTTTCATGGAGAGTTCATTGCATTTTGATATTGAATAAGATTCTGTCTTGTGATTGCATCAGACTTTCTCAGTTTCACTTACTGAAGGATCTTGATCACTGAAAAGTTTGGTAAGTGATTTAAAAGATTGCAATAAATACCGCACCCCAGTTTCTATGTAGTCTAAAATTTAGGCTAATTTGACAAATACAAAAAAATGAATAAAAATGTGCTTGGCTTTGCAAGAAGCTGCAAAACTAACTTCTAAAATAGCTGTACTGTTCTCATTCCCACAGTCCATGAATAAGGGTCCTTTGCGCTTCCTGTCACTTCAGCTGGTGGTGGTGTCCGTGTCTTGGAGTCTGGCCGTTCTGCATTATGGCTGTGCAGTTATCTCTTTGTTACTTGAACTTACTTGCATTTGCCTAATGTCATTGATATGGAGTCTCTTCCCATGTGCTTACTTGCTAACTCTGAGTCTTTTTTAGTACGTATTAGGATCTTTGACACATTTTTACGCGATATTGTTTTCTCAGTGTTGAGTCTTGGACGTCTTTATATGTTCTGGATAGCTCTCTTTAATCAAACACATCCTCTGGCAGCAATTTTTCCTGGTCTGTGAATTGTTTTTGTTTTGTTTCATTTTCAAATTTTCTTTGTAGAATCTTTTGAAGAGCAGAAATTTTAATTTGAATTAAATCTGTATCAGCAGTTCTTTCTTCTGTGTATTACACTATTGTTGGAGTATACTCAGCGTTATTTTGGATTAAGATTGCTTTATATTTTCTCTTTGTATATAAATACAGAATATATATTCTCCCCATCGAATTCACAAAGAAATGTTGAAGCTTTTGCTTAAGATTTTATGTTAAAGGAAGTTGTTAGTTTGTTCTTGGCTGCCTAGACCATGAAATAATCACTCAGAAACTATATAATTTGCAATACTGTTTGGCCAATAGCTTATGCATATTGCTAGCTAGCTCTTATATCATAAACTAACCCATCTCCATTAATCTGTGCATCACCACGAGGTCGTGGCCTACCAGCAAAGTTTCAGTGGGCACCAGCAGAGGCATCTGTCTCCTCCAGCAGCTACATGGCTTCTCATAAATCCCGCCTACTCCATCTGTCTGCATCTCTGTTTGGATTTTCCTTCTGGCTTTACTCTGCTTAGCCATTGGCCAAAAGCAGCTTCTTTATTAACCAATGGCAATAAATCATAATCACAGCATGCAGAGGGGAATCCCATATCAATTTTACAATTTCTATTGATTGTTTTAAAGGTAAACAAAATTTCATTCATAGATTCTTTCCAATAGACTATTATGCATTCCTCAATTGACTTAGATCTTTATATTTTTCTCAATAATGCTTGATCTTCCTGCTTTACAGTTCCCAATTAGATTTGTTTCTAAGGGTTTATATATTTGAAAGTCATTTTAAATGTTTTTAAATTTTTTCACTTTTTCTTCATTTAAACAGAACTCACGCATGTTATCGACTTTGCATCTACTGGAATTCCTGACTCCACTGATAGCTTCTGATTGCAGTGTCTTCATGGCTTCTATGTATATGATTTCATCATTTGAAATATAATTTTATTCCTTCTGTTATGGCTTTTACATCTTCTTTGCTTTGTCCCTCTTGATGAGACTGGTTGTATAATCTTGGTATTAGACAGGGTGGACATCCTCGTCTCATTGTTGATTGTCCTCAGAAATTATCCAATAATTTACCTCCAGTGATATTTACTACATATGTATTTGTTTAATTCTTCTTAAATAGGGTCCTTCTGTGCAGCCTGCACTGTTCTGAACTCCCTACATAGGCCAGGTTGATCTCAAACTCACAGACACCCACCTGCTTCTGCCTACTGAAATTAAAGGCATATGCCACCACATCTGACTACTGTATACTTTTGAGCATACTTAAAATTCCTTTCCACATTAATTTGTTTACATTTTCTCCATTTGATTGTGATGGATTTTGTTCAGAAAGTTTTTCTGTACCCATTTAGATTAATCATTCTGTTTTTCGCCTTTATCTATTGCAGTGGTACATTATAGTGGTCAAATTTCCAATAATGAACTTGTGTTAGAAATAGTAATTCATTATTTTTTCTCTTGCATATATCTGGTTTGATTGCCTTTAAAAAAAGAAAAATGATTTGTTTTGTCATTTCTTTCTTGCAGTGTCCCTTTGAAGTCTGGATGTCTAACCCATTCAGAGATGCTGGTACCCAGCTGAGTTATGCTATGTTGACTACTTCTACAAGTTTATATGTTTGCATTAGTTCTTATATGCCTGCTTGTAATAATTCAGTATGTGTAATAGATTTATATAATACCTTTATCTAAGACATGATTGATCAGATTTTATATTTTCTTCAGTTTTGAATTTCAAATAGCATTCTACATTAATTATCAAATGCAACAATATTTTCCTTATAACTTTTAACATCCAAAGATTAATTAAAACAAAAACAAATGCATTGTGTATGGAAAAACATGATAACTGATCAAAGAGACCATGGCCCACTAGTTCAGATGATTTCATCACCTGAATACATCCAAGTTTTATTTTTTACCAAATATCTTACACACATTAACCATGCACACAATTCTTATATAATGTGTATCTTGACTCTAAACTTTCAGTACAAGTGAGATAGAAATAGAGGAGTGAGAAAAATAAGAGATAACAAGAGGGAGAGCAAAGATGGCAGGGAGGAAAAGAAAGGTACAGCAGCCATTATATGAGAAAAGGCCACTGGAAAGAAGTGCTTTCTCGTGGATCTGATCTCCTTGTACTAAGACTTCTCAGCAAAGTACAGGAGAGAGAAAGCCAAGCTTAACGATAGTAACTCCACATAGTAAACCTATGATAACCAGAAAGGAGAATACATGATGGTGTAATTTATCTGATAGAAGTTGTACATGTAGACTATATAGGTGTGTATGTATATATGACTTCTCCATCATGAAGATGTGGTCATCTCAATGCTTATATCTAAAGGAACCAAGGGAGGATTGAGAGATGCAAACTCAATCCCATGGTAAATATAAAGATCACATGAGGTCTTTAGTTGTCACAAATAATGAAGCTAGAAATAAATTATCATTGGAACAAATTTATAAACATAACTTTAAAATAATTCTACATATTTGCTGACTGACAGTCTTGGGGTAAGTTCAGGTGACATAGAGTCAGTGGGCTGGCGTAGCAGGGAGAAATAAAGACGTAAAGTCAAGGGACATGGAGAATAGAATGAGAATCTCAAAAAATAAAGTTTCCAGAGAGATACAATAAAGAGAAGGGAGAAAAACACAAAACTCAAATAGAAAACTGTTTTTTTCTAAAAATAGACTTAAAATATCCTTAAGGAAAGCCTACTGAAATGGCAAAAATAAAGAAATATGTACCATAGTTGTGTGAACAGAAAGGTATTTCAAAGAAAATCTTAAAATGATGGAGGAAGGTCATTGGCTAATAAAGGAACTGCCTTGGCCCATTTTATTGGTTAGGACATAGGTAGGTGGAGTAAACAGAACAGAACGCTGGGAGGAAGAGGAAGTGAGCTCAGAGTCTCGACAGCTCTCCTCTCTGGAGCAGACGCCTGAGAGAGACGCCATGCCCTGCTCCCGGAATGAAGCTCCGACCCAGGATGGACATAGGCTAGAATCTTCCCGGTAAGCGCACCTTGGGGTGCTACACACAGATGATTAGAAATGGGCTAAATTAATATGTGAGAATTAGCCTAGAAGAGAATGGGCCAAGCAGTGTTTAAAAGAATACAGTGTCCGTGTAATTATTTCGGAGCATAAGCTAGCTGAGCAGGCAGCCAGGGGGCTGGGGACGCAGCCCCGCCGCCCTTTATTTACAACATTAAAAGGCTCCCCTAAAGTAAAATTATCATATAAAATGTGCTCATGAATTAATGATTAGAAGAAAAAGGAGTAAGACTATTATATAATTTGCTTAGAAAACCAATTTTTTTGAGTCAGGTCTCACTATATAGTCCTAGCTGGCCTGGTACTCACTGTGAACAACAGGCTAGCCTCCAACTCAGTGATCCACCTGCCTCTGCCTCCTTAGTGTTGAGATTGAAGGAGGGTGCCACCAAGATCAGCTCTCTTTTCATTTTTAGAGCTTTTCCTGCTTTCTCTCATTTTTCTGTACATCTTTTTCTCTGCTCTGTATTATCTTAAGACACCACTGTTCTTGCTTTATAGAGTCAACACCTGGTCAATATTCACTTGTAACCTTTCCTGCTACTTTTTACCTCTTGACACAAGTCTGCAATTTATTTGGGATTGTTTCCTTCTGCCTACTTAATCCATTAAAAGTGTTTCTCTCGGTGCCATGTGAGTCAATGATTTCTCTCAGTCTTTGCTGAGAAGTTTCAACTCTGAAGGCTCTGTGTGCTAGAGTTATACTCGGGAATACTTTCCCCCAGGAATTTAAAGACATTGTCTTTGATTTCATGACTAACGCCCACAAGTCAATTCTTGGCTTTACTGATGCTCCTTTAAAAGAAATACATTGTCTTCATACGGTTGGTTTAACATTTTTCCTCTTCTGGATCTTGTGTTGAGCACCTTTCCTGTGAGATGCTCAAGTAGGCTCTGCTTCTTACGGACCCTGCTGAGGTTGTCCTGGATACCCTGAACAGTCAAAGACTCACCAGTGGTAGAAACTCCCAGTCATTGTCTCTTCAGACATTGGTTAGCCCTTCCTTACACCTCAAATCTCCTCTCTTACTTCCTCCTCCCGACAAAACCCTTTTTCCTAACGGGCTCACTGGCTTTCAGGGTTATTTATTTCTTTTTAGTTGAATGACAACTAAAGCCTACATTTCAAGAAGAACTTAAACTGCCATAATTTGGCTTTTTCATTGCTGTGTGGCTTTGGTGGCGAAGGAATTTGGGTAAAACTACAACTGCTTCACTTCACATAGACTGATAGTTAAGACTTAGAAATAGACGGTGAGATATTAAAAAAGCTTCTCAATTGCCCATTTTCTGCCAAAAGTTCAAAGAGTTTTGACATAGTCTTATCTACAGACATGTAATGAGTTAGAAGCCAAGCACACATTTCACCAGGCTTACTGAACACAGCAGAAAGCTGTAATTACAAATCAACAAGAATGTTACTGCTCCACTTTATTAACAAGCAAAATGCTATTCATTATTATTCATCAGTTTCACCCAAAGTACCTTAAGGGTACACTAAACAATGAAACAAAATGATTTAACATCAAAAATAATATTTGCTGATTGATAAACTCTATCCAAGGCACCAGCTAACACAAAATGACAAAGCTGAAAACTTCTAATAAACAAAATCAAGCAGAATAGCCAAATTTCAAAAGAAATTTCCTCATTTGAAGGGTTCAGAAAAGACACACAAATTAAAACATGGACATATTTGTATGAGAAAGAAAAAGGTAAACGTGATGCCCTCAACAGCCCTACATTTTCCTTTTTCAGAAAGATATAATTCTGAGATTAATTATCAAAATAATCAAAAGATAAATTTATTAATATAGCAAAACAGTGACTTAGCAGTTATATTTTTAAATGGGATGAGAAATTATACATTTTCTCTTTAATTTTTGTCAAATAAGAATTCAAACACTAACAGTATCATTTCAGAACACTTGCAGCCAAATAGACAGGACAACTAGCATGCATGGTGCTCATACACTTTACATTTTTAAGACTGGGCTATTCAGGGCATGTAGCCTGATAGTGAACACAGCATAATGTGGCTTTCCATTCATGCAGAAAGATCCAGACAACATAAGTAATTTTAAGCAATCTTCGTTTGAAAAGACAAAAATAGACGGAAAGGGCAGGTGCCACAAATCCAAGACTTTTGAGAGCAGTAAAACGTCTCAGAAGATCATCAAGAGTATTACACAAAGAAAATTTAATACTGTATTGTTTTTTTAGGGCTATGGGAGTGTTAATCACCAAGAGATAATCATATGCAGAGAAAAATATGCTTCGTATAACTAAAAGCCTAGTACTTTCATACCAATAAAAAAGAAACTATCAGAACACTTAGGAATTTACATCACTTAGTTCAGTGGTTCTCAACCTTCCTATGACCCTTTAATACATTTGTTCATGATGTGGGGACCTGGGAGGATAAAATTATTTTGTTACTACTTCATAAGTGTAATATGTTTCTGTTATTACTCATAATGTAAATATCTGATATGCAGAATATCTGATGTGTAACCCCTGTGAGAGGGTAGTTCGACTCCCCAAAGGGTCATCCCTCCTCCCCCCCAGTCCAGAGGTTGAGAACCAATGACTTAGCTAAAAACAAAGCTCTCCCTGCCATGGAGATTTTCCTTAAGTTCTCGCCCAGAATCTTGAACCAAAAGCTCAGGGATCATGGGATTGAGAAATCTGAAATCACCAGTCCCAGAATCCCCAGTCAGACACACCTCATACTGGTAGCTCTGGGACAAGGTTCCTGCTCCACTGACATCCACCAGGTGTCCAGGAAAGTGTCTCTCAGGAGCAGAGCAACCAGCCAGAGAGGTTGCCTGAGCTCTCCTGCACAGTCTCAGGCCCACAAACAGCAGCACAGACAAGAGAAAGAGCGAAGACACAGACGCCAAGGCGATGACCAGATACAACGTGAGCAAGTCCTCATTGTCGTGCTCGGGGTCGCGTGCCACCTCCGGTAGTGGCAAGTAGGGTTGAGAGAAGCCATCCACCAGCAGCACATGCAGAGTGACACTGGCAGACCGCGGAGGATCGCCATTGTCCTTGACCAGCAGCAGCAGCCTGTGCTTGGGCGCATCGCGCTCACTCAGCAGCCTGGAGGTGCGCACCTCGCCATTGTGAGCCCACACGCTGAACAGCCCTGGCTCTGTAGCCTTAAGAAGCTGGAACGACAGCCAAGAGTTCTGGCCAGAGTCGCGATCCACAGCCACCACCTTGGTGACCAGGTATCCTGGCTCCGCTGCCCTGGGCAGCAGCTCAGTGAAGGGCGCAGAGGCGTTCTGCAGCGGGTAGAGCATGAAGGGCGCATTGTCGTTGGCGTCCAGCACCTGCACGCGCACCAGCGCCTGGCTGCTGAGCGCAGGCGAGCCTTGGTCTGTGGCGCCAACGAGGAACTCGAAGCTCTGCAGGGCCTCATAGTCCAGCGCCCTGAGAGCGAACAGCTGACCATTTTCGGCATTTATGGAGACCAGCGAGGTGATGGGCAGATGCGAGTCGTGAGTGGGCAGCAGCGAGTAGGTGATGTGGGCATTGGAGCCTGAGTCTGAGTCTGTGGCGCTGATGGTGCCTATGTGCAGGGCAGGGCTGTTGTTCTCATGGACAAACAAGGTATAGGAGCTTTGTGTGAAGGCGGGGGCGTTGTCGTTGACATCTGACACCTCCACTGTTATGGTGTGCTGGGTTGTGAGCCTGGGTGTGCCCATGTCGCTGACTGTGATGGTGATGTTGTACTCAGATCTGCTCTCTCTGTCCAGAGGACTCTCTGTCACCAGGGTGTAGAAATTCTTGAAAGTGGATTTGAGGATGAACGGCAGGGTTTCTGGAATAGAACAAACCACCTTTCCATTCTCTCCGGAATCCCTGTCTCCAACTCTGAAGATGCTGATTATGGTCTCAGGAGCATTTTCTGGGACTGAGCTGGTCAGTGAAGATATGGTCAGCTCTGGGGCATTGTCGTTCACATCCACCACCTCTATCAGCACAGCGCCCTTCCCAGAAAGGCCTCCTCCATCCGTGGCCTCGATTTTCACGTGGTAAGACTTAATTTTCTCAAAGTCCAATCCCTTTTTCAGCCGTATTTCTCCCGTGATTTCGTTTATTGAGAACGTCTGTTGAACTTCATCTGATGCTTGGAACAAGCCATAGGAAACTCTCCCAAAGTTGCCAGCATCTGCATCCTGTGCTAGGACAGTCAGGACTGGGGAGTCTGGGGGGCTGCTCTCCAGGACCTGTACCTCATAGGGGGTCTTCACAAATTCAGGGGCATTGTCATTGATGTCCAGGATCAGGATTCGAACCATGGCTGTTCCTGACCTAGGTGGAGAGCCCCCATCCAGAGCCGTGAGGGTCAAGCTCAGCTCTGCCTGCTCCTCTCTGTCCAGGGCTCTGTCCTGCACCAATTCTGGGTATTTCTTGCCTTCACTATTATTTCGAGTGAGGACATGAAAATGAGAGTTGGGGTTGACTGTGTACTCTTGAAGCCCATTGCTGCCCACATCCAAATCCTGGGCTAAATTCAATGGTAACAGAGTGCCTGGCTGGCTATTTTCTGGTATTTTCAAAAGCATTTCCCTATCTGGGAATTCTGGTGAGTGGTCATTTATGTCCTGGATCAGTAATTCTCCTTGAAAATACTGCACTGGTTTTTCAAGAGACACCTGGAAATGCAGCACACAGGGGTCTACAGAGGCACAGAGCTCTTCCCGGTCTAGTTTCTCCCTCAGAAGCAGATCTCCAGTCTCGGGATCCAGCAGCAATCGCTGCTTGTAATCATCAGACACCACCCTTGCAGACCGGGCTGCCAGGTCCCCAGATCTCAGACCCAGGTCCTTGGCCAGATGGGCTACAAAGGAGCCGCTTTCTGTTTCCTCCATGATAGAGTACCGAGTTGTTGGCTCACTCCAAACCTGAACCCAAACCAGCATAAATATAAAAGCCATGACTTGCCTGTTTGGTTGAATTCTCTCCATCTTCTCCGTGTTGGGAAAGCGATTGTTTGCATCCAATCCTTTAGCAGTCTCCCAGTGCTTTAAAACGCTGGCTTCTGGTTTTTCTTTTCTTAAGAGGGACCTTCACACGCTGTTCTCAATCTTACATTAATCCAGTATATTCTTGTCCAAACCCCTTCATAGCTCCGTAGTGCTTTCAAAGCTCTTGCCTGCGTCTTTTGTTCTATTTTCTCACAAGCGATTCCTGGTATTTTAGTGATTTTAAAGCCCAAACTTAGCCTGCAGCGCCACCCCGTGGCTTTTTGTGAAACTCTTGCAACTCTATTTTCAAATTAACTACTGTTTAAAGTTTCCAAATTAAAGTCGTTTTAAAGTGTATGCAGATTTTTCTTTACCAGTGTTGTTACTATTTAAAACTGCGTAATTGGTACAATTATCCAATATTTTTCATGAGTGGGGTCATGAAAACAAAACTAGAAGACAGCTGGTCTTATCACACATTGACGATTTGAATAATCAGGTAAACAGCAGAACTCATTTTTGTAAAAACTATTTTTTCACAGTGATAAAATATCAAGGTATTAAGGTTAATGTCAAGAGTTTGTATAATTCACTATAAGTTATTATGGAAGAAATTATCTTTTGGAATACTCCACTGCACAGATACAGTTGAATTGAATTCATCAGCTAAGCATTTGAGTGAAATAGTTACAAACCAAATAGTTTATGTTGTGAAAACAAACTTAAATTTTATATTGACTAACCTTCCAAGTCAAATTGCATTATATCAAAAATGTAAATTTTCGATGCACTCTAAGCCAATATCTAACAAATTACTGTCTGTATTTAAATAGAAAGTGTATGTACACATTTAGTGCATAAATCATTCAAACATTTTTATTTCAAACTTAAAATACCACATTGAAACCAGAAAGTTTGATTTCTTCAAATTCCTCCTTTTTTTTCCAATAGTGTTTTGGCTATTCAGGAATTCTTGTATTTTCACATGAAAAGTTTAGAGACATTTTGGTAACTTCTAGGAGAATGGCAAACTGGCATTTTGGTAAGAATTCCATTAAGTCACAAACTAGCTTGAGGATAATCTTCACAGCAGAGGGTCTTCAGTCCATGCACATTTCTTACACAGGTCTTCAAGAATTTCCTTTATGTCTTCTAGGGTTCTGTACGAATTTCATTGACACACCTGCCTGCTTCTTTTCTAAGCATCTTGGTCCTTTTGAGTCCAAGGGACTTTTCCTTTATTTTCATTTTGTCCAGTGGTAGCGTACAGAGACAGCTACTCTTAGGGTAATGATCTTGCAGGACTTGTCCATTAATGTCCATGTGCTTGCAGATTACTTAAGATTCCTTAAAGGTCACACCAAAGATAGTTCTGTGTTCTCTCTTTCTAATTAAAAGATTTTCTAAAATGCTTTTCTGCGTTTATTAAGATGATTGTGTGGCTTTGCCATTCGTTTGGCCCTTAAGTGATCTTTCAGTATTGATTTTAATATGTTGAACCATTTTTCCCACATAAATTCTTTGTTATCCATGATGTACAATCTCATCTGTTATTGGTGTTGGTTTGCCAACGTCGTTTTCTTTTCTTTTTCTCTTTTTACATTTTTGTTTGTATGTTTTGGAGTCAAAGTTTCTCTGTGTATCTTTGGAGACTGTCATGTTGCTCAGTATGTAGACCAGGCTGGCCTCAAACTCACAGAGATCCGCCTGCCTCTGCCTCCCAAGTGCTGGGATAAAAGGCATGTGCTGCCACTACCCAGCTCTGCCAGTATTTTCTTGAAATTTTTCACATCAACATCGACAAAACAAACGGATATGTAGTTTTCTTTCCTTTCATTATATTTGCCAGTTTGTCACAATGTACTGTTGCAGAATGAGTTAAGGATTTGCTGCTCTGATCTTTGTAATTAGAGCAGTAATGTTAGAAATATGCCTTTGTCAGGAGGGAATTGTTGGGTTACCAAGTTAATTTCACTTTATCACTAGAGGCTAAATATGGCAACTGCCACATGTTCATTCAGAACAGGACTTTTGGATTGTTTCTTAAGGTTTCTGCTCATCATCAAATTTCTACATTTATTTCCGATATCAATGCTGTAAACATTTCCATGTGTGTAGTTTTGTTTTTGTTGTTTTGAGACAGGGACTCTCTATGTAGTCTTGGTTGTTCTGGAACTCATTGTGTAAATCAGGCTGGCCTCAAACTCAGAGGTCTCCCTGATTCTGTCTACAAAGTGCTGGGGATTGAAGGCGTGCGCCGCCATACCAGGCTCTCCACTTGGTTTTCACTCATCAATTGCTGTATAAAGGTATTCTCATAGAGTCTCAGGTCTAGTGTCTTAACAGACACCATAACAACAAAGAAGGGGATATTCTCTAAGATACTGGCTTCATACGGCGAATGGGTAAGTGTAAGCCCCAAGGCTGTTTGGGGCCTAACTCACCCGTGTTACAAAGGTGAGTCAACCTTCTTAAGGCTTGAATCTCCTGAAACCTGTTTGCAAACTACCATGAGACCTCATCTCTCTCTCTCTCTCTCTCTCTCTCTCTCTCTCTCTCTCTCTCCCTCCCTTCCTCCCTCCCTCCCTTTTTCCCTCCATCCCTCCCTCTCATTTTTGAGATAGGGTTTGTCTGTGTCACAGCCCAACTGTCCCAGAACTCACTTTATAGACCAGGCTGGCCTCAAACTCACAGAGATCCACCTGCCTCTGCATCCTGACTACTGGAATTAAAGGCGAGTGCCGTTCCACCCAGCCTCCAATCTCTCTTTTAAAGATCATTAAAGCCAGGACAGTGTGAAGGAACTTTTAAAAGAAGGTAAGAAGCTGATAAAACATTATCACCAAGGATGACTAAGGACATGGAAAGACGACTAGACAGCTTCAGTGTTTGTTCTCTCCCCTAGGACAAAGAGATCCATAACCACATGAAAAGACTGCTGATGAAAGAGATTTGATTTGTCCAAATCAAAAGCAGAAAATGACCATTGGGAGGTAAATGCTAGTTGATATAAAATATGCCAAGTGGAATTGTTGTAAAGGGGGAAAAGAGCTATAGAAACTGCCGTGAATTTTATGACTCTTGAGCTCTGGAATAGCAAATGTCAGAACATGATGAATAAACGAAGTAATCTAAAATAAAATGAGATTCATCACTTCTCTGCTTTTTGGAAAATCAAGTGTGGAAGGAAACGGGATTTACATATAATGACGGAGACGCTGGCTGACACCAAACTTGTCATCAACAATATTCTGTGACAGAAGAGCAGCAGAGAAGTGTTTCACTCTTAAGAATACTATCAGCCAAACTATTATAATGCATTAAAATTGAACAGTGGGTTTTCAAGCAAGTAACTAAATTTCTGAGATGGCATCTTTAGAGAAAAATGAAGGATAGTATATACTATATAGAATTATGTTTTGAAAATGAATGACTGAATCTCTATCTTGAAATATTTAGTTTTGATATTGTCAAAGGTAACCAGAGATCAATAGAAACACCAATTAGAGACCAAAGAATTTAAACAGAGATTTTTGGGAGTTTGTTGGATGAACAAAAAAAATCTTGTATTTTTCTCATCCCTAAAAGTCAAAAACACCAATGGGCTTAATTTGGAACCAAATTAGAGACTAATGTGCTATTTTGCTCTTCTCTGAGTTTCCAGATTTAAATTAAAAACTGGTTCAATGGAGAGTGGTGTTACTCTGACAATTAAATTGTTATTTCCTTTTCTGAATATGGGTTGTTCTTTTGAAATTCAGTGTGTGTACAAGTTTGAGATAAAAGTCCTCACAAAATTCAATGGTTTCCTAAATGTTTCAAATTAGTTCTTCAATGAGCACATTGAGCATCTGTGTTGAAAGAAACACTGTGTTCTGTACTACAAGATCAACTATAAATAAAACCAAAAGAGCCCTTTAACTTTTTTAGTATCCACTGAAGTAGTTTAACAGCAAGAGGACTCAATTTTTGTTTAATTTTGTTTCCTCTTCAAACATTAAAATATTAGTAATACCAACTTTACATAGCTGACAGTAACCTAGAGAACTGACAAAGTCATCTCTTTCACTGATACCAGACTTGCAGTTTGAAAATGCCCCAGAGTGCAACAAAAGTTCGTACTATACATGTAGTCATGTAGTACCTCCCCCGTCTTAGTTAGGATTTTAATTGACATGAAGAGACACAATGACTGTGGCAAATCTTATAAAAAAAAAACATTTAGTTGAGGCGGTGGCTTACATTATCATCATGGCGGGGAACACGGCAGTGCATACGCAGTTGTGGTGCTGGCTATGTCTTGATAAGAAGGCAACAGGAAGTAGACTGAGTGTTATATTGAGTGAAGCTTGAGCAAAAGAGGCCTCAAAGCCCACACCCACAGTAACACACTTCCTTCAACATGGCCGTATCTCCCAACAGTGCCACTTCCTATGAGATTATGGGGACCGATCACATCCAAATTTCCACATCCTCTGAGTCCCACACTTAGTAAAATATCCATATAAAGAGGCCTTGGGAACCAGGAATGGAGGTATACTTGTAATTCAGACCTCAGGAGCAGAGTCGGAAGCCAGCCTAGGCTACACAGAGCTGAATAAGAACCTACCTCAAAATTAACTAATAGCGGTAGTTTGGGAAAGTAATTTAAATAATAGAAGGTTTCTAACTGCCCAAAAACAAAAATAAATTTGAACCAAGACTGTTTTTTATTTTCGAAATCAGTCCAGGTTGCTTTATTCGCTTGGAACTTTTCTGCCCATTTTGTCAACAATGTATAAATATAGGCCAACCATAAATTAAATTGCTAATAGGATCTGGGACTGGGGGTGCACCTTAGTGATAAAAGATATATCATGGGCCCCAGGCTTTGGACACACACACACGCACATGCATCCCCACAGATAATAACTCATCCTTTGTCTTCAAGTGGTAAATGGATCATCAGCATATAGCCCTTCCCCTTTAGTGTGATATCATATGCTATATAGTGCCTCTCAATAATAATCATCTTACATGAATTACAGAATTTCTGAAAAATTACAGATATGTATGAAAAGATTAAAAAGTCTAAAATTTTCATATGAATATTTAGGCTGAACATAAAAATATTTTGATTATTAATAACTCATATTTTCAATGCTCATTAAAACATAAAAAATTTTAT